ATTTTTAAATTACTCACATATGCTATCTTCGTAATCCCTCATTTTTTTGCAGTCCAAACAACCGAGTTTAGGAACTTTAACATAAGTTATATAAGAATCCTCGTTTTCATTTTCAGCTGCGCCATGAACGATGAGAATGCGAGGATCGGAACACTTCCATTGAGTCATTGTTACTTTTTTAAGATTGTCGACACCATGATCATCAAAAAGGCAGCATGTGTAGTAGCTGCGGAGTGGTTTATGCGGTTGGTAGATCCAAAAGTACAAACTGAAATTTTACACGAACATTTTAGTTAAGACTTTAATTTTATATTTTCAGAACCTCTTACGTATATTTGTATCCATAACTAAAGGAATAGTGACTTGCGACCATATTGTCATTGCAACATACTTTGTAACTTAGGAGAAACTGACCACAGGCGCTTAGGCCCATAAACATGTGTCTGAAATAAAGAATTAGTTATATAAAATGTGCATATTTTATTTATTAACTTCATTATTATTTGTTATGTACATATATTATTACTAAAAATACTACAAGGCCAAACACCCCCCAATTGCAACAAACTTCGCAAAGGCAGTAGGTACTTTTTTCGAATGATGTTAATGCTGGGAGGGAACGTATCTTGGCTATCACAATAGCTAAATGCTTGGCATGGAGGCAGGGCCGTCGAGAAAAAACCCAGGATCTGGACTGGAAAATCACGGGCCCTATACATAAATTGAAATTCATATGTAATCTAAAATCATGTGATCAATTAATATGTTACCATTAAGGTCTGTTTAATATACAGAGTTAGAAACAATCAGTACGAAACGGAATATATTTATGATAAAAGCCTATAAGTAATAATCAGTTTCTCGCGGAAGTAATGAAATATTTTTCTTTCTATAATGAAAAACCTGTTTTTGAAAGCATGCGCATCGCTATTTTTAAATTAAATTGTTAAAAAAAAAAAACTAATAAAAAGTTATAGCTCTGGTATTTCAGGCCTCTTTAAAAAGCCCCGTCCTGGGGAATGCCCCCTCCACCACACTCGACGGGCCTACAAGAAGATTAAAGAAAAGCAGCTGTTTCAAAGTTAAAGCGTTGTATAATGATGTACTTGGTTCTGGGGTTACTAGGCGTTATAAATATATTATATGATCTCACCCTTGAAGGAAGCAATTCGGCACAATATCCTTGAGACAAAATTTTAATCTATTTGGCACCTGATCGAAAGCGTGTTGTGGAGCGTGTACCAGACGTGTTGTACCAGCGAAATTACCAGTCCGCTGTAAAAAAATATTTAATGTCGTATTTCATATTCATATATGTTTGTGCCTAGTACTCCAGGATTCGCAACTTTAAAAGATTTACACGAAAAGCATTTCTTTCTTTTAATTAACGTTATGTAATTTAGCCTAGGCCAACAGCTTCCTGTAAACTCCTGCAAATCTTGTAGCACCTGGACCAGGCTAGTGTTTGATGCATGTAAATAAGTATGTACTTACTTCTCTGTTGTAAATTTTCTGTACCAAATTTCTAGGTGCGCCGTTTGGATCGCATGTCCCGTTGAATAGTTGGCGCATGTTTTGTTGTTGTTGGGCGCAACTACTCGAACCATCCGAATCGTCAGAACTATCATCAACTGTAGAGAAGTCATCATCTTCTTCGGAGGAAGCAGACAGTGATTCAGCGAAAGCATTATAATCTGCTTCCATCGTCTCCACCCTTACGAAAACACCGCAACTTCTTCGATCGAATAAACGTACTCTGAATAGAGAAGTTTGCACCTCCACTTCCTCGTTCTCCTAACTAATCCAGACCAGCTCACGTTCTGCAAAGCGTGCGTCCCGCGCGGCTTTACTTCATTTTTCAAAAGATTTTTAACTCTGATTCGTGTCTAAAATTTACGGACACAAACTCTTGACGATTTTCGCAGCTCCAATTTTGATTAATTGCCTTAAATTTTGCATTAGATAAATTTTTCTAATACGTACCAATCAGCGCACAAAGCTGAAAATAAAAGCAAACCAAAGTCTGCGGGCTGCTGCTATCGTTTTGTTCGTCGGCAAGGCAGCTCCAGATGCTGTCAATTACAAATGAAAGGGAAATATAAACAAACCCATTTGCTGACGGTGGAGAAAGTGAGAGACACTGCGGATTTGACAGTAAATGTCAATCCCGGCATTTATCAAGGTTGCCAGCTGCGCGCGGTATAAACTGAGATCTCTACTACCGGGTACAAATATCTATTGAGTAAACCAAAGCCAAACGCACATACATACATGTCGTGGCCTGGGTAAAAGATTGTCGTAAAGGCAATTTTGACGATTTTTTGTTCTTGAATCAGTTATATATTTTTAAAGAAGGTCTTTCGATTGGTGTTATCAGTTTTAGATATCTCCCTTAGTTTCCAAGATATTGACCACAATTTTTTCGATAATTTAGTAAAAATTAAGTTAGTGATGCAGTTATATTAAACTAATAATCAATATCTTAAAAACGGCGTCCTCCATTTTAGGATATCTCCTTTAGTTTCCGAGATATTGAGTAAAAAGTGTTGTTAATTTAATAGAAATTCTGATCACATTTTGTCGTATTTCATACAAAGCAAAGAAAGAACAACCGGCCCTAAAGCTATACATAAAAGAGACAACACGTTATAATTGTAGCGAGTGTGAACTTCAAGAGCGTGCTTTCTCTTTTCATCCAATCAAAAAACGTATTTGGGCAAAACAGAAGGCACGCTCCTGATAAATACAACAACTGCCTTATCGATCTCATTTTATATGCATGATCGAAAACGTCGATAATGATGTTTTACCGGCTTTATCGCTCACATGCTATAAATATGAATGATGTCGAAAATGTCGATAATGATGTTTAACCGGCGAGTTTTGATAACCAGACATTGAACAACCGGCCCTTAGTACGGTGACCATTCGTACGATTTTGGCGGGACAGTACCGATTGTTGTCCCGCTGAATAATGTTTAAAAGTCGGCTTGAATTCCGATTTTCACTATTTTTCGGACGTGGCAGCAGTTTCGTTATCTCAAAGAACATAATTAGAATATAAGGGAGCCATAAAGAAAGCTATTCATAAACATCCTTTTTCTATGATCATTGGTTATGTTTCAATCATTCTTTTCTTTAAGGTTTTATTTGGAAACTTGTTATTGAGCTGAACTAATTATCGTTAAAAATTTCTAGACAACACCACTCTGTGACAGCCAAATGTACAAATGTTCAAATCGTGTGATCTCTGCTTAACCGTGGTTACGCACATTTGGCATTAAAAGCTGCCGAGGTTTAGTTTTCGGAGTGCAGCTTATTTCCCGAAAGCGATTTGCGAAATTTCAGTTGCACCTTTTCCTGCAACTTCCTGCAAGCTCGTGTAAAATCCTGTAAGTTCATGGAGTACTGGATCAGAGCTATTAACACGGGATCCTAAATTAACGATGTCGTCTACTTTTTCAAACTTATAACTGTCAACAGTGACGTTGATGCCGAGGCGCTTATGCTCTATCTGTTTGTCTGATGACAGGATATACTAAGTTTTGTCCTCCCTCACCTCCGAGGGGACCTTCCCAAATCTGACGGGGCTGGTGCTATTACTCAACGTCCTTTTGCACACCAACATTACTTGTTTCCTAGGGATACCAAATTCAGACATTGCCGCATAAATAGTACTTTCGTGCTGTCGACAGCGGTTTTAAAATCAACAGATACTTAGATGGTGTGTGCCGATCTTATTTTTGCGAAACTTATTCAAAGATTTGGCGTATTGTGAATAACTTGGTCTATTGACTGGTCTGGTAGATTTTCCAGGTCTAAAGCCACGCTGATAAGACCCAGACAGTTCGTTGACAGTGGGCTTTCGTCTTTCATACAATACACTCGATAAGACCTAGTAACCTATACTTAGAAGGATGATCCCGCGGTAGTTGGCGCGTATCGCGGGATCGCCTTTCGTGTGGATAGGGCAGAGCACACTTAAATTCCAGTCGTCGGACATGCGTTTATCTAACCATATTCTGCATAAGGGTTGATTCATACACCTTACAGTTCTCCGCCACCGTACTTGAATAGCTCGACGGCCGTCACCTCCAGCAGTTTTGTTGTTTTTCAGCCGCGTAATCGCTATTCCTACATCGCCATAGTCATCGACTGGGGGCTCGGAATCGTCTTCTCCACTACTTTCAGTGCAGCTGCCATTAAGTAGGATCGACAAGTGTTCCCTCCGTAATTTAAGTACGTTCTGGACATCGGTCACTAAATCGCCATCGTTGTTATTACAAGTGTTCGTTCTGGTTTGGAACCTTCCGTAAGTATTCGAGCCGTAAAAATTTCGAGCCTTTTTCCTGTCTCGCTTCCCTCTTCAGCTCCCTATATCACTTCCACACAGTTCGCGTTGCTCCTGATCGCAGCATGACCTTGTAGGTGGCATCTTTTTCTCTGCCGCCTGCTTATCGTAGCAGTTGTCCTTTCGGGCTCAATGTGGTTCCACTTAGAGCAGGTGTGAGAGTCGAATAGCGAAACAATTTACAGTCTTTTATGATTGCTTTCCTTGCATTAGGTTTGTTTTTCGAAATTACATAACATAAAAAATCGCTCATGTTTATAAATTTTTAAATTTAACGAACTTGTATATTCAAATTATCGTCGACCAAAATGCAACCATGTGCGACAATCATATCTCTTTCGTGATTGTGAATTCTTGCTGGCTAAAACTTTTTTTGGTCTGCAGGAAGGCGATTTGAACAAAAATCATTATAATTTGTACTTTTTTTTCGAAGAACAGAACTCTAGTTAGACGCACATTGCTTGCTCCACAGCTGCATTAGCGCAGTAGTTTGAGGAATCTGCCTTCTTATTTGTATTATCAATTTAAATATACTACTTATTCAGTTTGTAATTTTCAATTTAATTTTTTTAATAAAGAAGTTTTATAATGAACTTTTAATGTAACAAATAAATAAATAAATAGTATAAATAACTAAATTAATGCTACTATATAGCCCGTATCACCCACGCATTATTAGCCGACCGAAGTAGAACTCATAGCCACCTCTAAGCCTTGCCGACGGCCATGTTCGCTGGAGAAAGTGTTGTAAAATCTTCCGAATTGAACTTCACGAACTCTTCATTTTGCATACTTGCCTCGTTGTCGGCTGGCACATCGGTAACGAGAAATTGTGCTCTATTTTTGTCTTTTTGCCTCTTGATTTTCTTCAACCAAATGCTAGCCAGACCTTTTATAGGCATTGGTACTTCATCTGTGGGAGCCGATGAGTACTCATTCATTGCCGGTAATTCTGGCAGAAGCGGATAGTTTTTGGGAGAATCGTAAATTACCCAATTATCTGGCCTAGATAGGAAATAAGTAATTAATATAAAGCAAAATCTTTTGATCACTTTCTTACAAACCGTTCTAATTTTGTCAAAATTTTAATAGGCGCAAAGGCAACTGGTGCAGCAAATTTTGAGACTGCCTTCCTTCGTTCTATTTCCGTACTTTTTAGAATCTGTTTGTCGGTGGCTATTGTATCGATTATATTAGTTTTGGTGGCAATTAAAGTTTCGGTCGTCATGTCGTCATAGTCTTCGGCCAATATGTCATTGTTTAGATTTTTGCCCTCAACATCGGAAAAAGGAGTTACATTTTCTGTTAGCGCTTGCGTCGTTGGGTTAAACGTTCTTGTCATGTCCCTATCCGTACTTCGTTCTAACGTCTCAGCGGTATTGTTGAGTTTCAGCGTTTCTGTCGTTGTATTGAGTACTGGTAGTACGTAGTTGTCGTCCAAAGGTTTCGTAGTGTTGTTCCTGTGTGCAGTCAAGTTTTTCAGTTCGTTTTCTTTTGATTTAATCAGTGCATCTATCATATGTTCAGGTCGTATGTAGCCGTCACTGTCGAATTTTTCACCCATACCCAATATGTCATCCACGTAATCATAGTCATCGGTGTCTTCACGTTCATCATCAATGTCATAGCTAGTCTCAGTACCGTTGCTCACTCCGTTTGTCGTATTCTTGGTCACTATCGGTTCGAGCGTACGTGACGAGTAGTCATAGTCGTTTACAGTAACAATGTGTTCAAGGTTCGTTTTCTTCTCTAGCGGTAGGTTCTGTAATTGGCTATAATAGCCATAATTTCCCAATTGGGGTCTCTTGTTTTCACTTGAAAACGGACTATTTGCGCTCTCCTTCTGTGAATTACCAAAATTTGTATGGCCATTAGAAGCAGCTGCTGAGTGTTGTGAACTCAAAAACCCGGGATTGGGTAATTGACCATAGCCGGGACGGTTCGACGATAGTAAGCCATAACTGCCAGCATCAATTTGATTCGGTGGCAATGGAAGTTGCGGCTGTCCGACTACATTGGGTTTGGGTCGTATGTTAAAACTAAAAGTGCTGTCACCGCCATTAGCTTGCGCCACGCCGGTAATAGTACCGAAATTTCCAGCGCTAATCGCGCTACTGGTTGCTTGTACAACACCGCTGCTTACCACTCCGCCAACCTGGCTTAGACTAATGGCCGAGGGCACAGCTGGATAGGCTGGTGACGGATTCTGTGCGGACGGACGTGGTATGTAATGTGAAATGGCAGATGATTCTGTATTTGGTGCGTAAATATGACTATTCTCATGCAC